TTTTTCTCTACTTGTTAATAGAGTTTATTACTCTTTACTAACACTGGAACCCAGCCTGTTCTTTTTATATTTTTAAAAACTTCTACTATACAACTTCCTGAATATCCAAGTTCACTGCAAATCCAACTTTCTGGAAATCCAAAGTGTACTGTCATGACACTATGTAATTCTACCAATATTTTCAAAAGTGGGGAAGTGTCCTCCCCTCCCTATCCAGGTGGTAATGATTTTTAAAAATCTGTTCAATTTTAATTTATTGGCATTAATAGGTGGGTACCCAGCATAGATAAGGTAAAATGATTGATTGTTTAAAATGTATTTATATTTGGCTTTGAAATACATTGTTTGACTTACAAACATGCATGTATATATGTGTGTATCAGATTTGCCTTCCTAATTTTTATTTTACTTTAGCTATGAATGGAAATTAGCTTGCATTTTCTTAGACCATAATTGCCAAGATCTTGCAGGAAAAGACACTACAGAGCCACTTCTCTCATCTTTCCAAAGAAAGCATCAGGCTGGGTCCTTCCTGACTCATTCTCACTGGTACCTATAAATGGTACAGTCTACACACTATTTTACGTTTTGGAAAAGCCTTTATTATTGGGGTTGAGTTTTTATTATTGTTGCTGCTTTCCTTCAAAAAATATTGGCTCTTAATAAAAATTTCCTGGAATGAAAGAATTATATTCCAGGAACCAAAATCACATTGAAAACAAAAGTAAAGAATAAAGAAAAGTATTTTCCCACTCAATAGCCTTTGGATTTCTGGTGCCTTAAGACTGTGAATTTTGGTTCAGGACTGTCCCTTCACACTGTTTCTCCCATTGCTGAGACATGCCTGGAATTTTATTTATTTATTTTTTGATTGAAGAAATGGACCCTAAACTATAACATGACCAAACAATTATTTTCCCCCTGAAATTATTAATTTAAAAGTAAGATTTAAAAATGCTTGAGGAAACTCATGGGTCAAATTCCATTACCTTTCAATTTTTTCCTTTTCAGATTTTTAACAAATTGAAATTTGGTAGGATTTACAATTTTGATACATAAATATATGATACACACATGTATTCATGTATGTACATAAATGATTTTTAAAACACACATTCCTCTCTAGTATGACATTATCTGGTGAGACGTTTATGAAAAGTCCTTGGAGGGGAGTTCTTGGTTTTTTACATTATGACCTCTTGCTCAGGTCACCAGGAACACAGAGGGTGTATGTGGCTACCCCTCTTTTGGGCCAGTGTGGCAATCTCAGGCCACAAAGGCAGCCTCTTTTGGATTAGACATCTTCCAATGAAGCCAGAGACTGAAATGCTGAGATTTAGAGTACCAAAGAATCACTAATCAAACCAAGCAGGCCTGGCTGCTCAATCTACTCTTGATAGAACAACCATTTCCACTGGCCACAAGTCACGAGGAATCATTCGGAAATATGCACGTTGAAATTCATTTTTATCAACCAATATGGAGTGTTCCCCTGCTGAAATAATGCTCTTTTTTGGTCATTTGACAAAGGAGATATGGAGTATGAGCAAGAGACAAAGAGACATGGAAAAGTCAAGGAACAGCCCCAGGAAGGGTAAATGACAGAAGTCCGGGAGAGTCGCAGCTCCATGGCTGCTGACACTGAGAAGGGAGACCCACATGGTGAAGGTGAGAGTGGGACAAGGCAAGGGACTATGGGGCTCCCAGGGGCAGGACCCTGCTTTGTATTTTCTCTCCAGGACTGAGACCCACTCCCACCCCAAGAACACCACCGCCTTACCCCAGAGCCAGCTCTGGTTATACGCAGGCTTGTCTATGCAATTTGGTAATTACCACCCTGAGGAAACCTGATGAACCCACTGCAATGGGAGATGCTTCCCCTTTAAGAAGTCCCTTTAGTAGATCTACTCACAAGGAGGATCTAGCACACCTGGACCGGGAAGCTCCTGGAGAACAGATTTCTGGGCTGGCCTCATCTCCGTAACTGGTGGGAATGGACCATGGAGTCTTCCCTGAAGATGAGCACCCCACTGGCCCTGGCCTAGTTCTAGGGCGGGATGGGGGATGGGCCTTACCATCTTGATCACCGTTGAGGCATAGATTAGCGATGACTCCAAATACAAATAAAACTCATTTTCACTATGGATCCATTTATCAACAGCTTATCAAGGTGGCCCTTGTCTTTCAACCTTTCCCAGGGTTTTCACAGAAATGTGAATACTTCAAGTCACCCATAGTGATAAATGAACTCTGGGATGGCATGAGAAATGAGCAAAATTCTGAATGGAACACTTAATCAGTGAAACACTGGACAAAAACAAGACATGAATTTGGGCAGCAATAATTTTTGGGGTTATCACCAATGTCAAGTTGAATCTATATATGTGTTCATATATTATATATATATATATATCTTTCTTTAGAAATGCAACTTTACAGCTGATTTTTAAAAAGCTAATAGAAAAGTAGAAACTGGCAATTATTTTTACATGTTTCCCCCCACCCCCAAATGAAGCCCTGTTAGGATGTAGCAATCAAATGAGGCTGTCAATTCCTCTATAAACTCTTTGGTTCTGTGGCTTGGGCGAGGATGTGTCACCAAGACCCCTAACCCTGACCCTCACTCCCCTTCCCTCCCCTGATGATAAGACTGAACAAAGAAGGAACCTTAAGTCTAAGGGATTAGCAAAGAACATTCAAATGACACTACCATTCCCCACACTCCGAAGAGCAGAGAGAAGAGAGTCGTTCACTATGCCAACATTTTAAACGTGGAGTCCATGGAACCTTTTGAGAGATTCCATATTGGGGTAGAAAGCCATAAAACAAAATGAAAGGGAAACAATAAAATCAAATAAATGACCCTTTCCTTTCGCTGCTCAGAAACAAAATTGATTACCTTTATACAGATCAATGGTACTATTAGTATGTTAGCCAGGCAAGAGGAGATAATGAACTGAAACAAAAGGTGTGAGAAATCCTCATCTTTGGTATTGTAGCTGTTGAGGTTTCTGTTGCTCTGTTCCGTGTTCTTTTGAAAAAACTGCATAGGCACAAATTAAAGACAATCTTCAACTTTAAGATTACCGCGTGAGTTGTCAAATGAAGCAGCAGCCACTGAGGCGTTTTCCTTCCATTCTTGTCTCAACCCTTTCTTTAAAATCTGCTTCCAAAAAATGTCCCAAGAGATCTGTTTGAACACAGTGTGTCTCACTGTATTTTTTTTTTTTTCTGGCGTGCTTCCTTCTTCTTGGTGGTGATTTTCATTGATTTACATATTTCCTTATTCACCTTAATGGGACAGTTTTGTTTGTTGCAGAAGTAGGTGCAGAAAAAGTTTCTTTGGTTTCGATTAAGTAATTCATAAAAAAAAAAAGTCAGTCTCAAGTGTCTGTAAAGAATCATTGCAGCGTTTGGCTTGCTTTGAACACCCCTATGGTGCCCACCTGGGGCCATTCACTGGTAAATATGCACATCGTGACCTTTGCAATCTCCCAGAGTTCTGTGGGCGCTCTCCTGCTTGCTGTTGGAAGGTGACAGCCACTCCTTGGGTGGCTTGGCTGATGTCCTTGGCATAGCCTGTCTGCTCAGCCTGATGGTGAGCCAAATGCAAGAGCTAAATGCCATTCGGAGTTGCAGAGGTTTTCTGATTTCTAAAAGTAATCACAGTATTTTTAGGCTAGAAAATGGCAAGTAACAAATGTCTTTGGTTTGCAGTATTCTGCTTCTTTGGTGTGCTGTGTTTTCTCCAGTTTTATTCAGCTGTTTTTCTAGGACAACTTAATAATGGAAGAGGTTTAGGACTAGATGCATAACATGTATGGCGATTTGAATTACTATTTTTTTCTTGTTAGAAAACACTGAAAACATCCCTACCAATGGGATGGACGAGAGAACAACCCAAATCTGAAAAAGTGAGAATGTGTTACATGGTGGTCAAAATGCACAATAGGAGGAACCAGGTGACTTAACAACCAAGAAGGATACATTAATGATCTAAAAAAATCTAGATCTTTTAAAATGCTGCATTTGCTCTGTGTACCTTAACAGTTAAATTGGCCTCCTGAGTGTGCGTCTGCATTAAGTACAAACAGAATTTGTAGCAAACTGCAAAATGTGCTTGAAGCCTTATTCCCAATGATTCCCTAATGACTTCACAATCAGCGTCTTGAAAATCCAGAGGTGGTGAATCCAAAACCTTCCTTTCTTCTCTGTTTATATTTGTTGTGCTTGATACTTTGAGCTCAAGTGAACTGATTTGTTGTTTTGATGGATCCAAGACCATATTAGATTTCCAGGAGGTAAAGAAAAGAAAATTATAAACTGGACCAACGTAAAGCTTTCAAAACCATTCAGTGAAAAGATGCCTGAGTTGGAAAAACAGGTCCTTGGGTTTGTTTGTTTTTAATATCATATTTAATACTTGTGCTCAGTAATTATTATATCTAATTTTTTTTTTTAATGTTATGGCTGTGAACTTTGGTGTATGTGGTGTGATGTGGCTAAGCACTTGGAAAGCAAATGAGGTCATTCTGGTTGCTAGAGTCTTCTCTTAAAGTAGCATCTTGGGAGCCCAAACTCAGGCGGAGTTCCCACAGTTACTTGTGAGAACTCTGGCTGCAAGAGGTTGACAGGACCCCAAGTGGGGCTGTTGACATTTTCAGCAATCCTGAGCTTGGCTGACACTACACTGAAATGAACTTGCTCCAGGAAGGCCCCATTTGGGTTTCTGAGATGCTCAGCATGCTCAGAGGACAAAGTCCGGATCAAGGAGGTTAATTTTCAGCTTGCACTCGGGCTCCATCGCCATTAAAAACAAAACAAAAAAAGGACATCTGGCCTATGATTACAGCTAGAAGTTTCTTTTTGAGAGAATTGTGCTTTCAAATCACCAGTGAAGGGCCCCAGCTAAGAATCCAGTGTCTTTTTCCTTTGTGTTTTCTTTTGGTATGTGTTTTCCTCATTGGGAGGCAACTTGTACCCAACTGAGAGTCCTTCCATCAGGCTTTGGTACAGGTGCTGGGGGTGGCCGAGGAGCCCCCAGTGCTCAGGTCGTCCTGCCACTTCTCCAGGCTGCGGCGCCGGGCGTTCATGAAGAAGTTGCTGACGGTGGTGAGCTCCAGGCCCAGCTGCTGGGAGATGGTGATCTGCATCTCTTTCGACGGGCGCTTGTTCTCCTTGAAGATGGCGAAGAGTGTTCGGCGTTGGAGGTCAGTGAACACCAGGCGGGATTTCTTCTGGGAATTGTTCCTGTCTTTGTTTGGTTCTTGCTCTTTGCGTTTGCATGCTGGAAGGGGAAAGAGAGGAAGGAGAGAGTCAGTCCTGGCTCCCAAGAAGGTGATCTATTGAAAACATTGACAAAGTTAGACCAGGGGATGTAAACTGTTAAACTTTATTGTCTAAATTGCCCAGTTGTCAATAACCAGCCTTCCCAGTTCCTCTCAGGGTGACAGAAGGCATCAGTCAGCATGAGGAGGGGGAAAGAAGACAGAGGGGCTGTTTTCCAGTCTGGTTTGGAACTAGTTGCTTTTTCTACCTCGCCTTCACCACCCCCCCCCTCCCTTAAATTTCTTTAAATCAGGGGCTGGGAAGGGAGTGAGGACTCCAGGTCCCCAGGGGAGACTGGTTAGGCAGTTCCTCTTTCATATTCATTCTTGAGAATTGTTATAACTAATCTGAAATGACTGTTGGAAGTCAAAACTTAAAAAGTGCATGATGTTTCAAAATCAAAGCTTCTACCTACACGCTTAAAAAAACTGTTAACAGGATGAAATTAGAAGTGATAGAACGATGGTATCATCCCGACCTAAATCTCCTTCTTCCAGACTTTTGAAAGTTTAAGAAAAAAAAAAAATAGGGAGGGAAAGACTATGAAAAAAATGGTTTAGCCTATTCTAATTTGGCTGGTCTGAAGTGATGCCAATACAAGAAGACTAGGGCTGAGGGTGGTGGAAGAATCCAAAGTTAGAATGACAGGACCTCAGGGTCCTTGGTATGTCAATTAGTATGTGCAGTCTCTGATTTAGCAGATGCGCACACACATCTGGATTGACATCTGCAGCCAGGACATTCATTTATGTGTCACTAAGTCTGCCTCCCGTACGAGTTCTCAAAGGCCAGGATCAGGTCTGTGTGATATTCCCAATTGGCTCTTTCTGGGGCCATGAATTTATTTAACATAAATGAAGGCTTGGGAGGCTGATGACAAGTGGTGTCCTGACTTTTTCAAGAATGTACACTTTTCAAAACAGATTTGGTCTCAGAAAAGTGACTTGTAAGGGTTAAATAACGAAGTGCAGACATATTGCAAATTTTAACATGAGAACACGTGTTAAAAGTCACTGGTAAATCCCAGCTTGCCCAGGGATGCTGTGTAGCCTCAGCAGAGTTCATTGGAAAAAGCAAGAAGCACAGCATCCAGCACCCTTCCCTGAAGCAGATCCTGCTGTCCATTCTGGCCCCAGATTGAGAATCTCTTCGTGCCAGACTGATGCTCCCCCAAGACTAGCAGTTTGGGATGCTGCAGGTGCTTTTCCACACTCCTCAAGCTGGTTGCATTCTTAAGGAGCAAAGTGCAGTGGGGCTGCTCTCCAATGCCGGCCGAGGGGAATAGCCTTCAATATGATGGGTTTTAGGATTCTAACCTGAGGACCAACAACCCTCCTTGAAAAGATATTCTGGAAGCTGAACTTCCCTCCACCTAACGGACCACCCTACCTGGTGGATGCTGGGTGCTGTCTCCCATAAAGGAATGCCTCCTGACATAAATAAAAAGTGATGACATTTTATTCTGTTAAACTCTTCCTTCCTGACTTTTCCTTCTTTCATTTTGAAAAAAAAAGTAATCTTGTAATCTTTGAATTTTAAACACACACACACACACACACGCACACACACTCACACGCACACACATGCACACGCACACTCATTTCCACCGAAAAGCCTGTTCTTCTGGGAGGTCTGGACTTCTCAGACCAGGCTCCCCTGGAACGGAATTCAGAAAAGGCTGAAACAGGGGACAGGTTTCCCAGTAAAGATTCCTTCTTTGTTTATCCCTGTGAGGACCTTACATTTTTTTTTGAATGATGCATGTTTGCCATAATCTCATTCTCATATGTACTCTCTCTCATCTAATCTCAACTCTTTGACAGCACTGCTTCCAAACTTTAAGGTGCATAGGAATCACCTGGGAAACTCGCTCCAATGCAGACTCTTAACGCAGGCAGCCTGGGCCAGGGCCTGAGCATCTGCATTTCTAACAAGCTCCCAGGTGATGCTGCTGGTCCACATGCCTCAGTTTGAGGACCAAGCCTCTACCTGATTTCTAAAATCTCAGAAGAGCACCTTGAAGGAATGGAAAGTTCCAAATCTGGGCTCCTCATGGGACCTGGGCAAATTCCTTAACCCCTCAGTGCCTGTCTTCCTGACCTGAATGATAGAAAGAATGATGCTCATCTCTATGGAAGCCTACGTGAGTAACATTACGTGAATGCTCCCTCCCCATCTTCCCTCTCACTGGAGTAACCCAGCAATCCCGAGGAAGATAAACAGGCAGAATTGTTTTCATCTTAAAACAAAATAAATGGAGACCCAAGGGTAAGGGATTCACCTGAGATCATATTACAAATTTGCTGCAGACCCAGCGCAAGAATCCAGTTCTTCAGTGTCTCCATCTTTCTCTACAGAAACGGCCCCCGTGCTCTGAGCATGAGGCTCTGGGGATCCCACTGTGTGGGGTTCTGGAACCTATACTCTTACATACCTCCTCAGGCCCCTGAGAGACATGGGAGCCAGTGTGCTTGAGCACATTGCCACCTCAGGTCCCCAGACTATTGTTCCTGCCCAACCTTCTGGGACAGCTGGTGCCAAGCCATCATCTGTGGGATTCTGAGGAAGCCCCCTGATAACCAACTCTGGGCAGGTATCTTCTTCTATAAACATTGGCTGAGACCCTCTGTCAATTCATGCTCCTTTGAATTAACAAAACAGCCTTCAGTTTTCATACTAATACTGACCATTCTGCAGATAATGCTTTATTTGTGCTTTTAATGGAGTGTTTAGACAGTGTTGGCAGCTTCACATTGCCCAGTCAGTAGTAATATTTGAAGATTACATATGGAGTATCTGAAGATCACACACACACACACACACACACACACACACACACACACTCACATATCAAACTTAACAGAAAATGTTAAAGGCTTACTACAGCAAACTACAGAGAAAGAACAGAGCAATAGATCCATGTATGCCTTCCCAAGAGCTGCCCAAAGCCATCGGATGCCAGGCAGTAGCCTGTGGTCTGCAAATGTACCAGTCTAAGAACCCAAAGATAATGAGGCAGTAGGTATATAACCTGCCAAGTTCTTACCTCTGACAATGCCATCCACAATTCCTCTTTATATTTTTTATGCTATAAGGTACTTATTTCTCCACGTTTCAAAGAGCCAGGTTGCCCACCACTTCTGACAGTTACAGAAATAACAAACACTAACAGTATTTACCCCATGATTCTTGCCCACAAAAGCAGTTGGTCAAGGACTGAAGGAAAATAAAAAGAGGGAGAGCTTTTCCTGGTGCGATTCCATCCTATGCGTCTGTCCTGGGGAATAGAAGTTGTTTATCTCTGTCCATCTTCTCTCCCGCTAAGTGCATGCTCCCACCCCATGGAAGATTTGATGGACAGAGACATGAGCTCTCTCAGGCCCCAGAACTATTATTTTCAGTTGTGAACTCAAGGCTGACAAAGATGGCCACTTTAAGGTGGATAATGATGAAGAGGGGTGCCGATTATCTTTCTGAGTGACCAGCTTAGGGGCTGGTGCAAAGGATGAGCTGCACATTGCTGAAGCAGAGGCGATGGATTGTTAAGGCAGTCCACTGACAGTTAACACTGGCAACTCTGGAAATGTCTGGACAGCTCACGGTTTCCTTTAGTGGCTTTGAATAACACCCCCTGTGGTCTTATGGTTGCAGTGTGGTTCAGGGTCTGTGCATCTTTGTGGACAGCACTTAGTAGCTGTAAAAGAAGATGCAGAGTCAGAAGATGAAAGGAAGATGTAAAACGTCTAAGTATATCCAGAATGTGTTCTGCCCTTGAAAGTGCTGGCAAAGTTTCACAAAAAAGGTTGCTGCTAATGAAGAAGATGATGTGGAGGAAGATGAAGAAGAAAAAGCTGGAGAAAAACCTCCAGTAAAGGAATTTGCACAAGATACTCCAGCCAAACACAAAGACCAAACCAGAATGGAAAGACTCAAAACCATCAACACCAAGATCAAACAGTCAAAAATCTTTAAAAAAAAAACACACACACACACAAAAACACAGCAAAGAACAAACTCCTAAAACACTGAAAGCACCTAGTTCTATAGAAGACATTAAAGCAAAAATACAAAGCAAGTATAGGAAAAATACATTGAATAATCCTGGCACTACTGGTAAATTAAGCCCAAAGATGAGGAAAGAGGAAAAGGAGAAATAAAGATAGTCCATGCTGAGCATCATCAACAGTCCAGACTGAAGTCTTTTATTTTAATCTCAATGCCTTTTCCTGATTTACCACCCACCCATGCCCCCTTCCAGGCTAAAAGCAATCTCACCTTAAGCACTTTTCTTCTGACTGCTGTGATTCAGTGAACTTCTTTTTCTACTTGTTCATTTGCCTCACCTCTTTGACCATGTTCTAAACTCCTTTGTTTCTCCCTAGCTGCTCAGAAAATACTTGAATGAATAAAAAAATATATCCAAAATATAAACAAAACAAAACAAAACAAAACAAAAAACAGACCACAGTGGCTCAGTTGGTTGAGCATTATTCTGTGCTCTGAAAGGTTGCCTGCCTGTTTGACTCCTGGTCAGGGCACATGCCTGGATTGTGGGCTCCATTCCCGGTAGGGAGCGTGCAGGATGCAAGCAATCAATGTTTCACTCTCACATCAATTTTCTCCTTTTCCTTTCCTCTCTCTAAAAATAAAAAAATATTTAAAAAAACAAAAAACAAAAACATTATACTCTACAATCAAATGCCCACTTCTAAAGAGTTAGGAAAATCCCAAGTAGCTCCCAAAACCCAGGAATGTGCATTAAAAACCCAACAGATGGTGGGTGCTCTGCATTGGTGTGGGTGGGTTCATCACTGCCAGGTTCCAGCTATAGGAGGGCTCTGCCACTAGAAAGCATGAGGCCACTTGGGTCTACCTCTCCTCCCTCTTATAGGATACAATCAGAAAGGCACGTATAGGTTGATACTTAATATTACATGATGGTGAGGAGGGGTTGTGGAT